ATACAAAGCCTTTTGTCTTTCTAATTCAACAATAGAGTTCAGTATAAATGCGCCTAGCATTCTGATGTAGTAAGATCCGCCGTGTCCAAGACCCTACGAACCTACTTCTGCGCACACATAGCCCAGTCAAAGCTCCAAGAGTTAGCCACCATGGAGCACCAAGAATCACATGAGAAGTCATTTCGCCAGTAAAAAGGGTAATGCAGAATAAACTTTGAAAATGTCTTACACACTGCACATGCACGAAGCTGACAACTGACAGGTGTAACTAGCGACAACTCAGATTATCGTCTCGCTACCCTTATTCTTCTGCCCTGCATGCACGCGGTGCAACATTCGCTTCCGAGACCCCTTCTCTTCTAGTCTAGTAAAGTAAGACGCGTGTTCCCGCCTTTGTAACCAAGACACATGTAACAGCGCGAGCGAGGGTATAGTAAAGCCACGGTAGCGGAAAGCAGGTAAAGACGAAACAAGCCGCTCGTGCGTGGGCAGGGGACTACTTTTAGCATCGAGAGCATGGGTGAGAAAAGGGTTCAGTACGCGTGCGTGTGTGACTAGTGTTGATGCAAAACACTGACACGGCAGTCTCGCTGCGGCCCGTCAACCATGCACGTCGCCCGTAACTTTCTCAACAGCATATGTCTTCGCGGCCGCACATGTGAGCGCCTGCAGCTACTTCCCGAACACGAACCAGGAATCCGGAGGCGAGACTGCCTATCGTGCAATGTCGAGGTCCAACCATTATCAGCGCTTGAGTCGGGTGTGTTTGCATGATGGGTGCTGCGTCTCTCATGTGAACTTCGCCATGTTTACATATCGTGCGAAGCTGTGGTCCTCGCTTTGGTCGACGCCGCGGTCGTTGACTGCCTGCCTGTATCGCTCTTTTAGGCCGTTTTCTGGATCATCGGAGTCCATCTCGTCCTCGTAGTCTAGGTCTTCGTCCATCATGCCGGCTTCGTCGGAGTTCTCTGCATCGCTGACCGTCTCGGGCTCTTCTTTCCGCGGCTTGCTCTTTGGTTTTGCGCCTGCACCGCCCACCTTCATGTCCTTCATCATCTTGTCTAACTCTCGTTCACGTGTCGCTTTCTTCTCTTGCTCCCTCTCTGCCCTACGTCGCTCAAGCTCGGGCTTGTAGTCGCGCTCGAATTCTTCCTTCTTCTCCTGCACACCCTTGAAGAACTCATCCATGCCGTCTCCGGTCATAGCACTAACGCCCACAACACTGAGATGCTTGTAGAATTCCTCCAGTACCAGTGACATGCTGTTCAGCAGACTACCCATGTATCCACTTCCTCCGCCCATGCCTTCACCACCAAAGCTGCCACCCTCTTCCTCATTGCGTAGGGCGGTTTGGAAGGCCTCGAAGTCGGTCATCCAATCCTTCGCGAACTGGGCGTCTTGCGCGTCGGTCTTGTTGAAGACGAGTATCATGGGCAGTTTTGTCTTGTAGAGAATTGAACAGGCGTAGAGCATGTTGGACATGAAGGTGCTCGTGCTAGTTGTGCGCGGTGTATCGATGATGTATGCGATAACGGTGGGGAATGTGCTGGCTAAACTCGACAGCAGAATCTCTCCACTTGCCGACCAGACGAAGACCTCGATCTGCCCTGGCGTGTCCACGAGGATATGTTTGACCTGCGGTTGTTGCGCCGGCGCTGCCTGTTTATCCTTGCCCCCACTTGTCATGAATTCGACTGTGCTTTGCTCTAGCTCCTTCACCGGCGCTGGCGGCTGCGTTCGCTTTTCCAACAGACCAATGACCTGATCAATCTTTGTGCTGAACAGGTTCAAGCTCGTCAAGATACCGCCGTTGGGTCCCAGATTGAACTGCTTCATGACTTCCTTGTAGTTGACACTGTCTCGGATGTCGATGTTGGGCGTGAAAGGAACATGGTGGACGGCGGGGTCGAGGTTGATGATGTACGGGGGTGTCGGCGACGCTTTGGAGACGGAGGGTTCGCTTTGAGTCGGGTCGGGATGAGTGTAGAGATGTGAGACAAGGCGCTGCATGAAGGTGGTCTTGCCGCTACCAGCCATGCCCACGCAGACAATCGAAACGGGTGTGTGTGAACTGGCGGCAGGCGCAGAGCCCTCTGGCGCCTTTGAGGAGGACATTGCGGAAGTTGTGCGCGTGTTTTGTAGACGATCGAGGGGTGAGAGGGAAGGTTCGGAGAACGAGTGGTAAAGTGGCAGCGGGCTATCGGGGGAAAACGCGTGATGCTTTGTAAGGAGAGTTAGGTCAAGCTGCGTTGTTGACAGCGGGATGTAGAGGAGTTGTTCTAGAAATTCTTAGGCGGGGCGGACGCGCGCTAGGGAATCCGCCGCGGTGATGTCAGGCCCGAGCTTTGGTTCTATCTCCAAACTTTCCTCTCGCGACAAGTCTATCAACACCAATCGACTTAGTATCACCGCCAACATGGGCCTGGAGGATTTTGAGAAGGAACTCGCGCAGACCAAGAAGAAGGACGACAAGAAGAGACGCGATCGAAGCAGAAGTCGCGACAGACACCACAAGCACCGCTCATCGCGCCATCACGACGACGACCGAGACGAGCGCCACCGTCACAAGCGATCGCGACACCATCGCGAAACCTCGGAAGAGCGCGCGCGGAGGAAAAGGCGTGAGAGAGACGAGAAAGATGATCGGCCGCGACGGAAACACAAGGAAGCCGAATCGAGCGACGAGGAAGACCGTTTGACGCGAAAGCGCAAGTCGCGACACTATGAGGAAGACGAGTCGTCGGGAGATGAGGTGCCTCAGGAGAAGGACTACGCGCCACCAGACGACGACATCCTCGACCAGCAGCTCGAAGACGCAGCGAACGCAGACCTGCAACGCGACGACTGGATGAAGGCGCCTTCTTCCATGGACGTCGAATACGTGCAGCGCAAGAATAGGGAAGAGAAAGCTACATATGTGAAGGCATCTGATGAGGGTCAGCCGGCGCTCAAAATGCATCACGCGGAGCTGAACCGTGATTTGGGCAACTCCAAGGACCGGAACGCTGTCGCGGAAGAACCCGCGCAAAGAGAAGTCAGCTACACATTCGGTGACTCAGGTGCGCAATGGCGCATGACGAAACTGAAGGGCATCTACCGAAACGCGGAGGAGTCAGGACGAAGTGTGGAAGAAATAGCTATGGAGAAGTATGGTGATCTACGGGACTTTGATGAGGCGCGTGAGGAAGAGATTGAGCTGGATCGCAGAAAGATGTATGGGCAAGACTATGTTGGAAAAGAGAAGCCATCTGGCGAGCTCTTTGAAGAACGCAGACTCAACGCAGGCATCCGCAGGCCGTCGCGCGAGTCACACGAACCCTCAGAGCCACCCCAAGGCGAAATAGTGCAAGATCCCCAACCAGCAACAAACACTGTTATGCTCAGCCAGACCGAGTTGAACAGACTAAAGGCGCAGATGATGAAGGCAAAGATGAAGAAGGCCCCCGAAGCAGCCCAACTGGAAGCCGAATACAACGCCGCCCTAGCCGGCAACTCAACCTCCCAAAACCGCGACGTCGTCGTCCTAAACGCAATGGACAACCGCATGCTCGCCGGCGGCCGACAAGGCGAAGTCATCGCCTTGACCAACAAGCGCGGCACGGAGCGCGGCCTCGTCAAAGAAAACGAAGAAATGACCATCGACGACATGGTCCGACAAGAACGGCGCACCAAAAACCAAGCCGGCGGCGAAGGCGCCCTGCTCGCCGAAAAGATAGCCAAAGACAGCAAATTCGACAACGACCTCGACTACATCGACGACAACGCGACCAAACTCGCCGCCCGCGCCCCCAAATCCTCCATCAACCTGCGCAACGCCGCCATCCAAGACTACACGAAAATGAACCGCATCCTCGACGCCTGCCCCCTCTGCCACCACGAAGACAAGTCCCCGCCCCAACCCCCCATCGCCCCCATCATCAGCCTCGCAACCCGCGTCTTCCTGACCCTCCCCACCGAGCCTGAAATCAGCACCGGCGGCGCCGTCATAGTCCCCATCCAGCACCGCACCAACCTGCTCGAATGCGACGACGACGAATGGGACGAAATCCGCAATTTCATGAAGTGCCTCACACGCATGTACCACGACCAAGGCCGCGACGTCGTCTTCTACGAAAACGCCGCTTTTCCCGGTCGCAAAGGACACGCGGCGCTCAACGCCGTTCCTATACCGTATGAACTAGGTGATACCGCGCCTGCGTTTTTCAAAGAAGCGATCCTGGAGTCTGCGAGCGATTGGACGCAGCATAAACCGCTTATTGATACGCAGAAGGCGAGTCGGAATGGGCTTGGGAAACAGGCGTTCCGGAGGAGTCTGGCGAAGGAGATGCCGTATTTTCATGTTTGGTTTGAGCTAGATGGGGGGTTGGGGCATATTGTTGAGGATGAGAGGGCGTGGCCGAGGGGCGATTTGTTTGCGAGGGAGGTGTTGGGTGGGATGTTGGATGTGGGTGTTGAGGTTGTGAAGAGGCAGGGGCGATGGGTTAAAGGAGATCGGAGGGTGGAGGGATGGAGGAAGGGGTGGAGGAAGTTTGATTGGACGAGGGTGCTTACTGAGGGTCAGTAGATGACCAGGTTGTCTATCTACTCGAGGTCGGTTTGATAGGAATGGGATGTGTTCTCAAATCGAAGGCATTTGTTTCGTCTATCCTGTAATGTCGATTGCCCATGCAAAATCATTATCGCTTGCTCGCTCCACAAACACCTCCCCATCACACACTACTACACTACACCACAACGATCCAACCCCCTCGAGCCGAACATATCCATGCGTTGATTATACCCTTCCGCCCGTCCATTCACTCAAGAGATTATTACGCTTAGCACGCTGCGCTTTTCATGGTAATAACATACGTACGAGTGCATTACTGCCCCTCCCCTCTCCACCGCCCCTTCGTCGCCAAGGCAGGTTGTTGAGCACGCTAACCACACAAAAGCAAAAGGAACAACCCATTTTCCCAAACGAAAGCCTAGGGTATCAGAAGTGTAAGGCAAGGCAAGCTTTAGGCGAAATCAGCCGAGTACGAGAAGCCACGGAATTCTTCCTGCATGGCTTGTGAAAGCACTGCATGTGTTGTTAGCAAAAGCAGAAGTACACATGGGTGAACAACGTACCAGACTGCACAGGCGTAAGCACAGGTGTGACACTTGTAAACTCGGTATCGAAGTTGCTAGTATCCGTTGGGCTCGTAATCTGTGGCGTAAATGGCGGTTGTACTCGCTTGTGGTAGATGTCGTCCCAGTTGATGTTCCTGAAGAAAGCATGTGACATGATCTCTTGCGCATCGGTCGGTCCAGATCCAAGACGCATCTCAGGCTCGCGGGTGAGCAGTTTCTGAAGGATAGATACGGAGTCGCGCGGCATGTGAATTGGGTAGAGGGGTTCGTCGGCAAGAATGGCGTCGTAGATTTCGTCTTCGTCTTCACCACGGAACGGTGATTGCTGGAGAAGCATCTGGTAAATGAGCACACCAAAGGCCCACCAGTCAACGGCTCGGCCGTACTTCTTGTCAAGAAGGATCTACAAACTTTTGTTAGTGACTTGACTTTGTGATGATGGACGAGACTTACCTCTGGTGCCATAAATTCGGGAGTACCACAGAAGGTGCTGGTAGTTGATCCGTACCACATCTCCTCCTTGCACAATCCGTAATCACCGATCTTGATGTGTCCATCTAGCGTGAGCAGAATGTTATCCAATTTCAGATCGCGGTAGATGACGCCGTTCTCGTGGAAGTACTTCAGTGCAAGGCAGACCTCGGCAGCATAAAACCTGTGAACATGTTAGCAATTGTCTTTCTAATGGCATCTTAGGAACGTACTGTGCGCGTTTGGTGCCGAACTGGCCTCTCTGAATGTGCAACATCAAGTCACCACCACTAATGTACTCCATGACAAAGTACACACGGGTCTCGGTCTGGAAACAAGCGTGCAAACTCAAGAGGAACGGATGCCTCTCCTTGTTCGCGATCAAGAAGACTCTCTTCTCTGAGCGTGTGCTTTCCACTTCGTCGTTTTCGATGATAAACTCTTTCTTCAGGACCTTAATAGCGTAGAGCTGCTTGGTGCTCTTCGTCTCAGCCAACATGACCTTTCCGAAGTTACCCTTACCCAGCACTGCAAGGAAGTTGAAGTGGTCCAGGCCTATCCTCTTTCCTGTTCCTTGTGTGTTCGCTGCCGGTGTGACCTTCTTGCCTGGTGCTTCTATTACCGCCGACGGGGGTTGTTTCGCGGGCGCAGATGGTTCTTGCATCTTCGGTTGCGAAGGAGGCGCTTGCTGCTGGTGCGGGGGTTGCGCTTGTGGCGATGGCTGTGGTAGAGCGTATGAAGACTTTTGTGGGTAGTTGGGCATCGCTGCGGGTTGTTGATGGCTCGGTGGGTAGCTCGGGATGTTGGCATATGCCGATGGATCGTAGGTGGCTGATTGAGGAGCTTGCTGTTGTGGTATGCGTTGATCTGCTGGGTATCCACTGCCTGACGTCCTTCCGCCCGGTGGCGCATAGTCCGTGTTACTGCGGCCGTAGGCAGGTTGAGCCGTGGTTTTGTTCATCGCAGCTGCAGCGGCAGCGATCGAAGATTGAGTGCGTGGGCCCGACGAAGGTCTTGAGCCTGCAGTAGGCGATGTGGGAGCCGCGCCAGAGCTGGATCCAGAGAAGGAGGCTCTTGCCGCATCGATTGACGCCGCCGATGTGGCATAGGATTGTTGTCGTGGAGGACCAGGCGGAGGACTCATCTGCTCTTTTCCGTAAGAGTACCTGTCGGATTGGGCTTGGTCTTGACCGGGTTGACCTGGAGATTGAGGTTGCGCTGGTGGCAGAGGTTTTGCTGGCTTATCCGGTCGCAGGGTCCGTCCGCTCATGCCTGGGCCCGACGATGACTGTCCTCTTCTCGTCCTCTTGATTTCCATCAAAATCTGATTAGCCACTTCCATGGACATACCGCAGAAGTCAGGTACGAAGTGAACGCAGTGAGCGTGACAGGTGAGACCACATTCTGAATCACCGTTAGTGGGGTTTGCAAATCGGAATAGTAGGTCCACTCACCATTGCACTTCTTGGTTTGTTTCCGACCAAGTGGCAGGACGTAACCGCAGTGACAGCACCAGTTGGCACCCATGTTGGAAAAGTTTTCGAAGCGATGAGGAATGCGGTGGTTGAGCTTAGCCTCGTCTGGATCGGTTTCGGCGTTGGACTGAGTGATGCACTTGGTAACAACCTTGGGGTAGCACTTCTTGTGACACGTGTAGTTGCAGTCCGAGCACTGCATACCAGCAGCATACTTGAGGAACTCTCCACAGAGCGCACAACGCATAACGTTGTAGAACTGCTGCTGGACGAACTTGTGCCCGTATTGCTCGACGACGTCTTCTTTACGCTGACGAACGGCACCTTTACGACCAAGACCAAGATCGAAGGGTTGCTTGTTGCCGGTGTTCTTGGCGAAGGACATGGTGAGGTGGATGCGACCTACTGGCTCCAGTGAGAACCAGTCGTCAATCATAACGGGTCCTGTTTGAGGTTGGGGACCACCCGGTCTCGCGCCAGCAGGACCAGGACCTCCAGCACCGGCGCCTGCAAAGTTCTGCCCTGGCGGCGGCTGGAACTGCATGTCGGGCTGAATGCCGGCTGCAGCTCCTCCCATCTTGTCAGCAGCCACCCAGCCTGAGTTTGCGAGCTCCGTCTCAATCTTCTTCCTTCGCATTTCTTCGGCAATGTCTGATATGCGGACCCATAGCATGCCGATGGGCAGAAGATGGTCGCCCGTCTTGTCGTATACGGTTATCTCGATCTCGTTCGCCTTGTCGATGGCGAAGTCGTGGACTTCGTCGACCCAGCGGTCGTTCCGTGTGGGCTTTGTGCGACCCTTGATTGAGTCTTCGACTTTGATGTTGACAAATGTTTCCGGGCCTCGACTAAAGCGCCCAGTAGCTGCGTGATCGACATCGGCGACGGCATGTACGCGGAGGGAGAGGTGACCGCTCAAAGGTTTTCTTTGACTCGGAATGTTCAAACTGTCATCTGGGCATAATCAGCATGTGGCAGCACACAGTATCGTTGGGGCTTACCGTCGCCATCGGCGTCGCCCTCAATGTCGACGTGGAGATCCTCATAACGCTTCAACGAGTGCTTCAACAGCTGGATCTTCTGGTTACTCTCGATGCGCTTGGCTTCTGCGTCTGCCTTGCTCTTGCGGTCGCCTTCCATTTGGTATAACCGCACCATCTTCTCGATTCCATCTTTGTACTGCTTTTCGACACTGAGCTTGAATTCGAGCTGGGACAGCATGAGCTGGATGCGGGGACCGAGATGCGGGGTATCATATTTGATGAGGTCTGCGCGTGTTAGCTGAATAGATCACTGATGTATGCAACAGATGTATATACCCAGTTTGCTGAAGTTCGGTCGCTTGTTGGGCGCGCCGGGAGCTGGCGGGGCATATGGCGCGCGAGGAGGCTGCAGAGCTTGCCCTCCGCTAAGCTGGCTGTACTGGCTTTCAGGGCCGCCATAAGCTCCCTGTTCTTGCACATAGCCGTTCCAGCCGTCTTTCGGGGGAGGAGTCAAAGGGTTGTTGGGGCCGCGGCCTGGTTGCAAACTCATGTTCTCCATGCCTGTAGACGTTCTCTGCACGTCCAGGTCCCGCAGCTTCGACTCGAAGTAGTCAATGTTCCGGCGGCCGTCCTTGATCTGTCCATCGAGGCGGGAAAGCACGGCCGGGTTGTTGGTCGACTGGCGCATGGCATTGGCGGCGTTGATGAGGGCCCTTTCACGGTCGATTTTGCGTTGCACATTGGCAACGGTCTCGTCGACGTTCGCCATGGCGGCGGTCGTCTATGACAGGTGGGCGCGGAGGGCGTCAGGAGATTTCTTCACCGACAGAGGCGACGGCGTGACAAGGTGCCCAGCGGTGGTGGGCTGCGAGGGATGCGTCGGCGCTCGGGCAGGCAGCCGTGACGTAAGCAGCTTCTGCGCGCAAGCAACAGCCAGTCCAACGCGTCGTCGGCGGCGGCGGCAGGGAGGTCGCGTAGGTGAGGTTGGCGGGCGACAATGGCGGAGTCGTCGTGCTGTGGTGATGTCGTTGGGCGAACAGCGATTTAGCTCACGCATAGGGTGGCTTAGCGGAGCCCCACTTTCCCCCTCTTCGTCGAGTGGCGTCGGGAAAGGGTTAAGTGCCGCTGTCTATCAAAAGCCGCGGGTGCTGTTTGGCGTCGTCGGGCGCGAGTACGAGACAGCAGAGGTGATGACGGCGACTGTCTGGGCGGCCGTGGCTGTTGGTGGGGAAAAGACTAACAGGCAGGCAGCATGGCGGGGTGAACTCTCAACACCGTCTCACAAGGGTTCCATGGAATCAGGCTTATTGCCCTGCTTCAGTCATACCACTTTGACTTCTCGCATCCTCTCGACCACATCCCGAATTCTTATCTTTGTTGAAGGCAGGTGCGCATGACGCCCGCCCGATTGGGCACCGACGCCTTGACATGTGCGACCTGATCTGACTGTGCGAGGCTTGTTTTCACCCAAACTTCCTCCATCACTCCTTGCACAACTCTCTGAAACCTTCATCACACCGTCCACCACGTCTTGCGCGTCAGGAATTGAGAGCGCTGATGTCGGTACGCATGTTCCCGTTGTATCGCATGAATACGCGCTCCATCGACTGCTACCCCATCAGTTCGCTCACGCCAAGTACAGTACGCGTCGTACTTACTTATGCTAATCCTAGCTTGATATGTGCGCGAGATGTTCGACACATTGCTTTTCCCGCACTTAGAATGTGTGCATAATCGCGTTGATCTACAACTACTGTTGACCGGTCCCTTTGCCAGCTGGTGGAGCTGACGTACCGTATAGTGACAACATGTCAAATGTGAGATCCATGGATGCGCAAAGCAAGCTGGTAGTCATATTTTGATCCGCCTGAAAATGCCACACGGGAAAAAATCGAGGCTCAATGTCCCCTCGACTACATCATCTCGTCTGCCTCTTATTTTGGAATGAAGGTCTGCACGAGAAAGTTGAGATTCAAGCCTATTGATGTTGACGGGTTGCATACATCTAACGACTTCGTGTACGCCACCGATCCAAGAACGAATGAGAACGGTCATAGGCTCAGCCCCGTGCCAACACTTTCAGACCCCGCAGTCGCTGCTGCCTTCCTTCACGCTACCTTCAAGAACGACGCGCACTCTGGAGTTGTTTCGAAGAACAAATCTTACTACCCGAGTTACACCTACCGTACTGAAGCTATCAAGCAGCCGCTTCGACGCACACATCTTATGCTCACATTTGTCGACGACGAGGCTCGACCACAGTGTGCACTGCACCAGCAACTCCTTCTGGAGCTGTAAACTTGCTTTCTGGCATGTCTTGGTTAATCTTAAAGAATGTCGATCCCATCCCGCCGTTCAAACACGCCGCTCTCGATCACACACAGCCGTCCATCCGAATTATCAAGGTGCTGCCAAGTCTATCTCCAGAAGGCTTCGTACAGTGCACCCTTACGCACGGGAGTACCGCGGACGATTACACATGCCTGTCCTACACCTGGGGAGACAAAAGTGAGGCGTATCCTATCCTCATCAACGATCAGCTGTTTTACATCCGGCAAAATCTGTACGACTTTTTGCACGTCGTGCGAGAGAAATACCCTCTGAGGCTATTCTGGATAGATGCTGTTTGTATTGATCAGAGCAGCATTGCTGAGAGAAATCATCAGGTCGCTCAGATGGGGGCTGTATACACCGCAGCAGTGCACGTCATCATTTGGCTGGGTAAAAGCAGTGACATGGCCGCATTTTCCCGCGCATGGAACGACTGGTGTCGAGCCAAAGAACGCTTATCCAGCCCATCCCCCGAGTTCCCTTTGTGGGGGATGTATGCGTGGCGTCGACTGAAAGAATTCAAGGATGGATGGCTCGAGCTTGCGAATCATGCTTATTGGACTAGGGCTTGGATCACGCAGGAGATCGCGCATAGTAGGACACTCAGTCTTCTGGCTGATATGGTGGAAATTCACGACCTCCACCGCATCGCCGACTTCTCATATGCCTTCGTCACAACAGCCGATGTAAGATTCTCTGTTCACATCAACATAGCGCAGCATCGTCATTCCATCCTTGGAAAACGTCTCTTCTCTTTACTTACAAAACTACCCAATCAAGAGTGCCAAAGGGCTCGGGATCGGGTATACTCCCTCTTGGGGCTCGCTGCAGAAGGTTCAGATATTCGTGTGGACTATGGCAGCTCAGATATGGCATTCGTGTCGATGTTGTTAGACGTATGCAAAGAGTTGAGGTGTCTATGCGGTTTCACATTCATATCTCACATGCTGGGTGGTATGGAAACGTTGAAGGCAAGAGCATCGGAAAAATTACAGTTTGTAACGCTGATGCTCAAGGCAAATTCGACGTATATCATCCCGCCGGGGGGCCTGGAATCGTCCTCTATTTTGCAGCAGGCTGACTCTTCTTTACTGCATGGAAGCGGTGCGGTGCTTAGCTTCAGGCTGCACAGAGTATGCGATCTCTTGAACAGAGATCACAGTTTGGAGGTTCGAACATTTGCGGGGCAGGAAATGAAGCTGCCAATGGGTCGGTTCACATTGCTCCTCTCTGCAGTCTATCACCCCCGATGTAAAGGGACAAGGCTGTGCAAGTCGCAAAATTGCGCTTGCCAGCAAGACTACACATGGTGGCCGGGACCGGATGCGCACCAAGAACGACAAGAACACTATATCTATAGTATCCGGGGCTGGCATCCAGATACCGGAGACGCACATCACGAAGAATTGGGGTGGTACAAACAACCGGGTTCAAAGAGGATCGTTTCGAACTGGTTCCAGGTGGACTTGCAAACCGAATATACAAAGCGTACGGAATATTACACGTTGGGTATTCCTGTGGCAGCGTGTTGGTGGTATGCTCATCAATTGAGAGACTTTCGACGTGTGGATGCGCAGTCTGCATCAGATGTATCTACAATCTTCATAGATCATCTATTCGACGGAGACCGAGTGCGACTGTGCGAGGAGGTCTTGAGCGGGCGGAGTGCTTTTAAGATAGGGCGAAGAACGACGCCAGAAGACGCGTGGTTGCACGAAGATGTTGATGGCTTCGAGCAAGAGATGCAACCTGTAGATGTGCCCTGAACTGTTCTAGCATCATCGGTCATTAGGATTTCATCAAATTACTCATGCGGCACTGATAGGATAGAGGGTATGCGTGGATGATGAGTGTCGAGGAAATGTATTGTCAGCATCGGAATAACATCATTGTCACATGTAGACACCCCGAGATCACCTTGGAATTGACGTGACCGTTCTAGGTATGAGAAGCCTGCCTCTTCAGATGTCGGTGGACATATACTAAGAACTAGGATGGTAGATGGTACACAGACGTTTGGTGATATCTCAGCCTAATGTCAGACGTCCCGGGCGCTCCTTGTACATTTGGTATGGATCTAGTGCTGGGATGTACATTGCGAGTCGCTTCGACGTTTCTGGCCCCCATCCAGCTATCAGCGCTCATCCAAACCCAACATTAGGTCCCTTTATGTCTAGAGACGGATAGGTCTGAGCGAACGACTCGGCAGCAGCCCGTGCCTCGCAGTGCAGGATCTGGGATCAGGGCAAACCTGCACTCGGCTAGCGCCACCCATTTACGTCATGGCAAGTCGCGTCAATTGGGTACGTAAGGAGAAGTCGCACGTCGAAACACCGACTTTTCCCACTCCACTCAGGCACTATGGCCAATGCCATAACATACAGACGCCATTGTTAGTACGAAGTCGGCACTCCTGCTCTCGTTATTCATCGCGCGACAACGCGTTCGTTGAGCAACTGGGGTCACGCGCCTCACCTCAGATAGGAATGACTGCTCCGAGCCGTCCACGGGGATTGAAGTGATGGTTCCATGCGCGTCTCTTCCCCATGTTCTCTCCTATCCTTATGGGCTCTTTCCATCCGCCCATCTTCATCACCAGCCGTCTCGAAGGATTCGTGCAGCGGTTGAGAGTTGATAATTCAAGGTACAAGGTCCACGATTCGGGCCTTTTGCGGAGCATTTCGCAAGCGAGGCGCGACTAACGCAGGTTCGCCAGCGACGCGCTACCCGTGCCCCCTACCGACAACGAGTCCATCAGCCGTCGCGGCTAGCAGCCTCACGGCACCCTGCCCGGGCACGGAGAACTGTGCAGAAGCTAAGAAGAAGAGAGAGCCGATCTTTCCAGATGATGCACTCCCGACATCGCGGCACCTCCCAGTATCATGACAAGAAACATCGCACGATCACCAAGGGATCTATCCTGCACTGCGCGATGTATCAGAATGTCAATACCCCTACAGCTCAACAGGGCCATTCCATGGACGGAGAGTACGCGAGTGTCAGTCGCGAAGTTTTCGAATCCTCCCAGGGTCCATCTATAGCAGCCGTTCAGGAGCCAGGCACGTAACAGCACCCAGCAATATGGTCCAGCCGTGCCACATTCACCGGTTCCACATCGTCAGGCGACCCACGCCATATCTAACCTCGACACGGGAACGAACGTCGGGTGAGGGTCGCCGTACTTTCCTAGCAGCATCCTAGATTACGCCCCAGAAGCTATGCCAGAATGCGACAAAAATCTGTCTCGTGCCGGTCTTTCTGGCGGCTTGTGCTCGACACAGCTGTCAGATTATTTGTTGGACTGATGTGGATACTCGAGAAACCCGGAAGATCAACGATAACAGGTTGATATGCGTCCAATTCTTTCCCTTCTTGAAACCAGGTCGGCTTGTTGCCTCCGCTTGGGTCTGCTTCACAACTATTCGCAATGTCCTGAAGCATATGCATCTTTGCATCGCATCCTGATGTGTTTCCACATGTTCCCTCCTTAGTCCTTCTTTTGCATCTTTTCTGCATACTTCATCCCTTCGCTCCCCACTTCGCGCTCTGGGAAGCCGTGGCTATCAGCGTAAGGGTATCAAGATGACTTACTACGGCGACAACGCTCCTGAGCTTGCTGCTTCAGTCATCGCACTGGCAGTTATTGCTTATATTCTTTTCGGACTGCGAGTCTATACAAGACTACACAACAATGCTTGGGGCTTGGATGACTGGAGCATGACAGCTGCGACTGTGAGCCAACCTCAAGGATTCCATACAAGACAACTCAACTGACAGGAATGACGCAGGTCCCCTTCACTGGCTTGACAATAGCATGCATTGGGGGCGCCTTCAGCGGAGTCGGGGTCCACGACGACAACCTCAACGCAGAAGAGAAAGTTAAAGGGATGGAGGTACGTTTACACCTATCTCTAACTCTGTAATTCCTCCATGCTAAACCATGTAGTTCTTCTTCTTCTTCGAGGTCTTCTACTGTGCAGCGATCATCCCTATCAAGATGAGCATCTCGTTCATGCTCATACGCATCGCATCCCGGAGAAAGGCCTACATCTACAGCTTGTACACTGTTTCAGCCATGTTCATCGTCATGAACTTGATTGCGATGCTGTACATCATTTTCCAGTGCGCACCAGTGTCGTACGCTTGGGATACCTCAACCCCTGGTGGAAAGTGCAACCCAGCGCAAACACTGGCCGACATATACTACGCGACGACTGCAGTCAACATTGCGACGGATTGGTTTTGCGCACTCCTACCCATACCGCTGCTCTGGAACGTACAGTTGAACCGTAATGCTAAGCTTTCGGTCGGCGTGATTCTCGGTCTCGGTGCATTGTAAGTTTCGCTTATCTCTTGGGAACCAGATCACCATCTAATGCTCCACAGAGCAAGTCTTTCAGCATGCATTCGTCTTGTCTACACTGTTAATCTGACCAATGCGACCGACTACCTTCGTAAGTTTCCATATCCTTCTGCTCCCACAGGGCAAACGTACTGACTAATCCTGCAGATGGTGTATCTAAGGTGATCCTCTGGGGTTACGCCGAGAATGGTGTCGGTATGATCGTAGGATGCGTCGCCACACTTCGTCCCCTCCTCCAGCGCGTACTCAAACTCGGAAGCAGCGGTAGCTCACATCCCCACACGCCTGCAGCAGGCTACGCGAAACGACCGGTCATAAAGAGTCGTCTGAGTGGAAGAGACGAAGAGTGGGTAGCCCTGGAAGATGGCCAGATGGTCAATATGGTCCATGGGCAAGGGAGTACTGGGAGTGAGGAATACATCCTGCCTGTAAAAGGCGGAGGCATACAGGTTACCAGAAGCGTCGAGCAACGATCAAGCGCCTTGAAAGACTAGGGGTACATCACCCGGACAAGCGCAAACTGAACACAGTCACGAAAGCCACATCACATTAGAGAACTACGAAATAATACAATCAGAACCAATAGACAAATCCAACAACATACTCCATCAGATGAAGAATCAAGCAGGTCTTCGTGCCTACCCTCCAACGTACGGCGACGCCTGCACACGCGCGTCCAAGACCACACAAGCAGCATGCCCAGACTGGGGCCTATGGAGCCGCATGATCGTACCGCGGAGCATCGCGGAATCGCGAAAGCAAAAAAACGGGTCCACACGAATGAGGCGATCCTCCTCAGTCCTGACTCGGCAGCCAGGCGATCAGCTCTCCCCATCCAAACACAACTCCAGGCTCCAAAAAAACAAACGTTGCTATGTGCCGCCTTGCACTACGGCAATGCCGAACGTGTTCGTCGCGTGGCTTCAACGCTCAGCGCCTAGACGAACGATGACTCGGTTGACTTTCCGGGAAATTGAGGAGCGAGCGCCTGCGGGACTTGGAACGGGCTTGGGCCACGGGTGTTACGGAAGAGCGGCACTGGGGGTCATGGGGGTCGTCTTTTCTCCCGCGCGTGCGCAACGAGCTTATGACCCATCGCGATCGGGAGAGGAATTCAACACCCACCGAGGATGGTAGAAGTAACAGCCTAGGACTCTTCATTGCACTCAGATTTTGCAGGCACTCGTTTCCGATTCTAATGTAAACTGCAGGGCACCCTTTTAGTCCCATTTCCTCCCGACAGCCGCGATGCCCCGTTGTGCTTGTGCCAATGTGATCGGCAATGGTCGTAGCAATCACCTATTTTGCGTATTCTGGGAATAGTTGTTCGGACAAAGGGGCGCTGCAACAATGCATCGAGCGATTCGTAGAGGCTGCGTGGTGCATCGCTCAAGCCGAAGTAGAGATATCTGAGGAGGGTACAGGTGGTGTACAGTACCCGCTCAGCAGCCCCACTGTGTCGCGTGTCAGCGTCGGTGCATGTGCTCACATCGAAGTATCGTGTATGAGCTGCACAGGTTTGACTTTTGGTTCGCAACGAACTCCTAACAGAGATGGAAGTATAGCTGTCTTTTTCTTGACTAACACGTCGATGATTGGCAGAGTAGCGATGGTTCTGACCATGCAGTCAGCAATCCTACGGTTTGCAATACGCCTTGCCAACGCCTTGATTATCCGCGACACATGTCGTAGATATAAAGGTAACTTCGAAGTCACTGCTCATATTGACTATTGATGATCCGAGAGTGAAAGCATTACCATCATGACAGACTTCGAAAAGGCGTATGAAAAAGCTATTGAGGACAAGATCCTGCCCGGATACGCTCTTCTCGCGGGCGATAAGGACGGTCTGTGAGCATCCTTGGCACAAGGCAACAGCCATCTAATAGCGAAGCAGACAAAATACTGTACTCGGGAGCCAAAGGTGTTCAGTCGCTTGCGGAAGGCTCGACACGCCCTTTCCAACTCGATACAATATGCGGGATCGCATCAATGACGAAGCTCATGACCGCAGTTGCAGCCCTAAGGTGTGTCGAGGAAGGGCTAATCACGCATGACGAAGACGTGGCCAAATACTTGCCCAGTATTGGAAAGTACGGCATTATGACGAGCTTCGACGAAAAGACGAATGAGGCGGTCACTGTGCCCAACACCACGCCGATCACCCTGAGGCAAGCGTTGTACTAATGCACTAGCTGATGGAAAACTGACCGGAACAGGATGCTTCTGAGTCACACAAATGGCCACGAGTATGACTGGCTCAATCCTGATCTGGGGAAGTGGCGTGCAAGCCGCGGAGAGACCCCGTCTTGTGGACCGACTGTTGGGGAGAAACATACCCTGCCGCTTCTCTACGAACCAGGCCCCAGCTTCAAATATGGCCCAGGATCGGACTGGGCCGGCAAGGTCATCGAGAAAGTATCGGGAAAGAGACTTGATGCCGTCATGAAGGAGAAGATATGGGATCCTCTGGGAATAACAGACATGAGCTTCTTCCCAAGAGAGAGATCTGATATGAAAGATCGCGTGGCGAACATTAGCACGCTGACCGAGCAGGGTGAGGGGCCGGCGACGGATGCTGGAGGGTTCGACGTCTTCGTCGATGCCACAGACTGCCTGGGAGGTGTGGGCGCTTTCGCGAGCGCAGAAGCTTACTTTACCTTTCTTCAATCCGTATTGAAGCGCGACTCGAAGCTTTTGAGCGACGACTCTTGGGACGAGCTTTTCAGACCGCAGCTCGATGAGAGATGCAAGAAGGAGCTGAACGACTACCTCAAGTCTTCACCTCTTCACACGCAGCTTCTGGGTATGGGTCAGCCTGCAGATATCGAGAAGCAATGGTCGTTCGCTGGAATGATAGCCGAGCAAGGCCAGGAAAGACGTATGAATGCTGGGACAGTCTTCTGGGGCGGCGTTCCTAGTTTGACCTGGTATCTCGACTTCGAAGCTGGGGTCTGCGGTGTGGCGTTCTGCCAGGTCATCCCGCCGATGAGCCCGCGCATATTGAAGCTGCATGAATTGTTCCAAAGAGCGATTTATGAGAAGGTGGCCGCCTGATAAGTTGGAGTATGTTGGATGAGGGGTTGAGTGGCACGGTGGACTGTCGAGAATGCGATGGAGCCAATGCATGGTCTGTGCGCTTATCGATAGGCAGGTTAACATGATTGTCCCTTCCGAGCTAATCCCCAGGACCATCCATCGTTCTTCAACGAAACCCCCTTCAGCACATCAGACACCGAGCTTTCAGTGTATAGTGACATTAGTGTTATACCGTGTCACTTCAAAACTTGGCAGAATGCATAGTTCGACGCGTTCCCCGCATTACGGACTAATTGGGGCACGGTCCTGCCAAGCGCTTGCTGCCTGTTGCCTGCCTTACTGCCTACTACTGGCTAGAATTGCACTCAGTATGCGGCAGTGCAATTCTATCGCTATATATTCGAGCAAGTCCCCCTCTTGTCGAGTGAGCAGAATCACGTTCTCAGTGGTTTCCTTTTACCACTCTTAGCGACCACCACCAAAGCCTATCCTCACACGCCCTTTCTTCATCCAATCTTCCGAACGTACTACAAATCATCCAGTTTATCTGTCTGACGTGATATTCTGAGACTCGGCCATGGCGACATCGTCCGGTAGTGTTTTCGGGGCGACGCTCAAGACCATCACGACCACCAAGCTCGAAGAGCTTGCGAAGCAGCGCGCAGTGTTCGAAGAAGAGTATGCTGCACTCACCACCGCCGCGAAAGCCGAAGCAGACCCACTGAAGCGCGTATGTCTTCTTCTCGATGGCTCGAAAACTTGTTTGGGCTTCCAGACGGAGCAGAAAACCAAGGATGGGCGAGTCGGTCGAGTTATCAGTGGAACATCCAGGAACCTTCGTCTCGAGACCGATCTCAAGAACCTCGATCGCTTCGTTGAACAGGCCCGCTTTGATCCTTCTGTTTCGAACAAAGTCCTCTCAGACTGGGAAAAGACACTGTTGCGTTATCTTTCCGTTCAGTCGACCAAGTACCAGTACGCCGACCTCTACGGCAAGCTCGTCACCGAGTGGCTTTCTTCTGAAAAGTCTGCAACAGACGATGGCGATGTCGAAATGGATGAAAGCTTCGAGGAAGTGCCTGGTGCTAAAAAGCTGGCGTCCCGCGCCGCATGGGAGAAAGACGTCTTCCAAGCAGCCGAAGTAGACGAGCAAGCACTAAGATCGTATCTTGATGAGTTATTCCAGGCGAACAAGAAAGATAGCTCCGCTGCTATTCGCGAGCTGCGCAAGACAGTCGAGAACTTCGAGGCTAATCTGAACTATTCGACACCGTTCAACCCCACTAGCCTTCACTCCACCATCGAAGGCCTTCTGAATTCCGATCTTCTTTCGAATGAGAAGCGAGAAGCGCTCAGGGACTTCCTCGGTAACGGCAAGTATATATTCTTCGTAGGAATATCTGGTAGCTAACGAACCCGCAGATGTGATACTCGCCGAATTGTGCGACATTCTCAACGTACGCATGGCATCTCTCGATCGCTGGTCTTGGGGACCGCATGTTCTACTAGAGCAGCGAAGGAAGATCAATGGCGACTTCTCTATTCACTTCGATCCGGACCTTCTCCAGGCGATCTTCCTCCATTACGTCGGTGTAAAATGGTAAGTCGACTGCTACCGCAAGACATGAACAAAGGAATTCTGACTGAATAACTTCTAGGTCTGTGTTCTTCAAGTCCGCATTCTTGGCCATGCACAAGCACCAAGCTTGGCCGAGAAACTCCACAGAGGTTTCGAAGGTTGACCGTTCACGCCGATCGTACTTCCTAGGCGACAAAGGCACGGACACTAAGTCTAGTGTCGAGAAGAAGCGGATGAGTACACATCACAACCGATATTTCGCCCACCAGCTACTGGACTATGATACACAGCAAATCGAGGCTCAAGATGGTGAAGAGGAGGCCGAGTATGGGGACTACGTCGCCAAGAAGCGCAAACCCAACGTGCAACGGGAAATGGCTGACAACCAAATGCAATACCATTTCAACACAATTCAACAGCCGAGCGGAGGAAGTGTTAGCCAACTATCCCAACTAGCCAGCACTCAGGGAGGGAGGACGAAGCAGACAGCAAGAAAGGCTACTATCTCTAGCTCGGCTAGAGCCGCTGCGCCTAATCAGCGTTGTGGTGCCGGCTTGTTTGGTGGGAACGCCCAAGCGGAGGTAGACGAAGACGACAGAGATCGCGACGCGTGCGACTGGGAAGATGAGGTGCACAGTCGTCAGTCGAAGAAGCCTATGGAAGCAAAGCAAGGCCTACTTCATCTCTTATCCACCGAAATTGTTCTGAACACAAGACTTCACGGAGGACTGACCTGCTTCTCTACGACTTTTGACTCGTGGAATTCACTACTGCCACATCAGACCATTTATACGGTTCTAGACTTTCTTGGCGTCTCGGATAGGTGGAAGAAGTTCTTCGAGCGATACCTTCAGGCACCTCTGAAGTTCAATGATGACCCATCCGCTGAGCCGCGTTTACGCCGTCGAGGCATGCCAGGCTCACACGCTCTGAGCGATACTTTGGGGGAGGCAGCGCTCTTCTGCTTGGACTACGCGGCGAACCGAGCCGCCGGCGGGCCAGATCTATACCGTCTCGGTGATAATGTCTGGTTCTGGCACAGGGACTACAACACGTGTGCCAAAGCCTGGGCAAGTGTCGTCAAATTCACAGAAGTTACGGGAACCAAGGTCAGTTTCCTCATGAACTATACTCACGTTGATTCATCTGACGACAACTCTAGCTTGACCACAAGAAGACAGGCAGTGTTCGCATCTCACGCGACTCCGATGCTGAGATTGACGACCAACTCCCGGAAGGTGAGATTCGATGGGGTTTCTTGCAGCTCGATCCAAAGAGTGGCCAGTTCAAGATCGATCAGAAAATGGTCGATGGTCATGTGGAAGAGCTCCGCACGCAACTGCAAGGAAAGCTAAAGAGCATCATCGACTATATTCAGGTCTGGGTAAGTACTGCAATCTCCTTGGTCTCAAATCGCAGTCTCTAATCATCGGGAATAGAACTCGTATGCGGCTACGTTCTTCAGTTCCAATTTCGGGACTGCTTCCAACTGCTTCGGCCGCGAACATGTCGACATGATGCTCGCCACCCATCGCCATATCCAGGACAGTATTTTTCCCGATGGCAGCATTGTACAACATCTCAAGACGATGATCAAAGAGCGCTTCTCCGTTGCGGATGTGCCAGACGGGTTCCTCTTTTTCCCAGTCGAGCTTGGGGGTCTTGACTTGAAGTCCCCGTTTGTTGAACCCTTGCAGATCCGAGACTCTGTCAAAGAGAACCCGTACGATCTGTTGGATGAGTACGAAGAGAAGTTGCACGATGATTACGTCACCATCAAGCGCGCCTTTGATAAGGGCACTCGGCATAACGTGCGCCGCAGTTTCCAGGACGCGAACTGGCAGCCTGAAGACCCCAACACATTCCTACCCTTTGAGGAGTTCACCAAGTACCCCGAGACGTTCTCTGCCATTGGCAAAGCAAATTTGACGGAGATCTACAAGGAGCTACTCGAGCGCCCGAAAGAAAAGCCCATCGACGATAGCGAACAGGTCCTGCAAGCGCTGGAGCAACTTGAGGGCCAGAGCAACTTACGTGGCATCACCGCAGACTGGTATACTATGGATGCGTACTGGAAGTGGATCGCACAAATGTACGGCCCGGACATGATTGGTAAGTTCGGTGGCCTGAATGTCGTTGACTTCGGACTGCTGCCGATCGGTATGGTATCCATGTTTCGGCAGAGGCGTACCAAGTGGCAGGGTTGAGCGCAGATGAAGCACTGGAGCTGTTCACGACTCCTTACGTATGTAGCACAATGAAATCATTTGGTAGACACGTCGATTAGGCAATGAACCACACGGACTTCGTCGATCCCGTGCAAGGCTGACGTGCGTCTGGTACCGCGCCCTAGCGTCTTTCCCCGCACCCGCTCCTCGGGCATGACCTCGACACTGGTCTTCCTTCTTATATAACTTTGACAGGGCTACTGTGCTTGTAGCTTCGTGTCTACTGAAACGTGTTACCCGCGCAACGTACTTTTTCACGGCATAACCTCTGGGTGCGCCTTGTACCCGCGAATATGTTGTACGCTGACAGAACCTCAGCTGGACAATATCAACGTCCTAAGATCGACTAACAGTAAGTTACATATCCTCAGTCCAGTTTTTACCAAGCTATCGGTACATGACTACGCATTGCGATGCTTATTTGAACGACTGAGACCCCCTGGTATCTTCGTAATATCTCGCCCAGCGATCAGCATGAGCACCGAAGCCTTCCACAACGCACAATAGCTCAAGAGGGCGATGCGGGATCAAATGGATATGAAACACAAAAAATGCGCTCCCGATCGTCTAGTAAAGCTGACCGTGTACAGTATAGAGACGTGCCACGGCTCTTGTCCGGTGGAATTGAACACCCCCACAACGCCTCCCGCATCCACACGCCTCCATTGATGACCCCGAAAGTCTCAGCAGAGACTGCGCGACCTTTCCTTCTCCAGTGGGAAGGCACTACGAGTTCTCTAGACTGACGCTACCTAGGTATGGAGCGACTACCCGACAGGCGGCCACACTGTGTCGGCAGTAACCCGGGTGGTGTTCATGCAAGCTGTCAACAAGGAACCAACCAGCCAAAGGCGACTTTCCGACGGCCCCAACGATGCGCATCACTGAGCAATGATATGGGGTTGTTGGATTGTTAGTTAACGCTAGCAAATGACGTTATCGGCAGGCCTCTCGGCACCACCTCAAGACAAGGAAAGTGCCATGATGCGCGAAGGAATTAGCGAACCACCTCATCCTCAACGAGCCAAATTCCCCACGCTTTGCATCACTCAACGAGGGCTATCGATCCGACTTATGGGGTGTACAACTCAATAAATAAGACGTTGAGTACCCTTCACACGCAAACTTTGACTTTTCATCTGCCCCTCCTTTGGAAAATTACAGACCATGTCTGTCATCGACACTACCAAGGACCTTTCGGCACTTTTCACGAAACAGGTCCAAGCTACCCCGGATCTGATTGCTTTGGAAGACGACAAGCATACATACACTTATCAGGAGCTCCACGACAAAGTCGCTGCCCTCGCCGACCGGCTGCGGGGTCATGGCGTCGGCCGTGACAGCTTGGTAGGTGTCCTATTGCCGCGATCCGCCGACTATGTGATCGCCTCTCTAGCAGCCCTACGGGCCGGCGGTGCATTCTTGGTCTTGGAATTGGCCTACCCTCCCGACCTCCTCGCGGATGTTCTAGAAGATGCTCAACCTACCGTCGTGGTTACTATCAGCGCCGAAGTCGGCAAGATCAAGGGAAGCACTCCGCTTGTTGTTCTGGATGAAACCAGTTCAACTACCAACGGCCAGTTGAGCGAGTCAGAGTTGAAGCCATTGCCCGAGGAGACCGATTTGGACCGCTTGGCCTTTGTTGCATACTCCAGTGGAACGACTGGCAAGCCGAAAGGCATCGCCAACCCACACCGAGCGGCGGTTCTCTCATATAACCTTCGATTTGGACTCTCAGACATACAGCCAGGCGACCGGGTGGCCTGCAATGTATTCTTCGTTTGGGAAATTCTTCGCCCGCTGTTACGAGGTGCGACTGTTGTTGCTGTACCGGACGAGGCTAGCTACGACCCGCGCATGCTGGTTGACCTACTCGCGTCTAAGAAGATCACCGAGACTCTTTTCACACCAACACTCTTCTCTGCCGTTCTTGCTCGTCACCAAGCGCTGGAGACGCGCCTGCCAAACCTGAAGACCGTTTGGCTTAACGGCGAAGTTGTGACCACCGACCTTGCACGTCGTGGTATCAAAGCTCTACCTAATACCCGCCTACTCAATGTGTACAGCGCATGCGAAACTCACGAGATCGCTTGTGGAGACATTAAGGATATGCTCGAGAAGCTGGACAAGGATGCTGCCTACTGCCCTGTAGGACCGCCGCTCATTGACAGGAAATACATCTATATCGTGGACGAGAGTGGCCAGAAAGTGGACGAAGGAGAAAATGGCGAGCTCTGCGTAGGTGGACACTTGCTTGCTCGAGGGTACCTTAACCGCCCCGAGACCACAGCTAAAGCTTTCATCCGGAATCCCTACAGCTCGAAGACCGGTGCTCGCATGTACAGGACTGGTGATAAGGCACGCCTTCTATCGAATGGCTTGCTTGAGATCACTGGACGTGTTGGCGCAATGATCAAGATCCGCGGATACTCCGTGGTACCAGGAAAAGTTGAGAGCGCGATACTCAACCACTTGGCAGTCAGCCACTGCGCTGTTGTACCTTTCGGAGAAGGCATCGGTCGACAATTGGTTGCGTACATCGTGCGGGACAAAGAGGCGTCTGCAGAACGTCCAGAAGTCGAGATTGACCGAACAGGCCGCAGCTCGACCGCCAGGCGCATGTTGATGGCATACCTTGCTCACTACATGATACCTGCACTTTGGGTCGAGATGGATAGTCTTCCAAGGAGCGATGTGTCTGGAAAGGTCGACCTCAAGGCACTTCCTCCTCCTCGACCTGCATCCCCTACAGGAAGCGCACGCAAATTCGAGCAGAGTCCTATCTCCATCGAACAGATTACCCAGATCTGGGCATCTATACTGAGCATCAGCCCAAGCTCCATCACTCCCGAATACAACTTCTTCGATCTCGGTGGTCACTCATTGCTACTTGCCGATCTCGCAGCGCGTCTGTCGAACACTTTCGGATTCAGGGTGCCGGTCGCACGCCTCGCCACTCCAGCAACGCTCAATGGTCATCTCGATACCGTCCGAGCTATCCGGGATGGTCACACCGCCGAAGTCCAGGAGAACCTGCCGGCCGTTCTGCGAGCAGACTCTGTACTAGATAAAGAGATCCAGCCGAAAGATGCCAAAATGTGTGCGCTCAAGGATGCGAAGACTGTGCTACTGACTGGTGTCACTGGATTCTTGGGCGCATTCCTGCTCCGAGATCTTCTTGAGACCACATCTGCCCAGATCGTCTGCATGGTCCGATTCGCCGATTCCTCGCAAGACGATATACCCGCTGGTATTGCTAGGATACGTAGGAACTTGCTGGACTTTGGTCTGTGGAGCGACAACATCATGGAGCGTGTCGAAATTCTTCCAGGAAACCTGTCGCGCAAACGATTCGGTCTCGCTCCGGACACATTCAAGGCCCTGGCCGACCGTCTGGACGTAATAGTTCACGCAGCTGCCACTGTCAACTTGGTCTACCCATATGCTGCGCTGCAGAAGCCCAACGTCGGTGGTACAAGAGAGGTTCTTCGTCTTGCTGCTCAAGGCGGTGCTACCGTACAATACATTTCCACTAACGGAGTACTTCTGCCTGCCAAGGGTCGCGAAGGATGGTCAGAAGACGCTATGCTGGAGGTTGATGATGTTACCAAGCTTGCTGATGGATACGGCCAGACTAAGTGGGTTGCTGAACAGCTCGCTCTAGAGGCTGGCCGAAGAGGCCTCCCCATCAAGATCCACCGTCTTGGAACCATCAGCGGTCATAGTGAGACAGGTGCCGCCAATGCATGGGATCTGTTGACGGCCATGATTGTCGAGTCGATCAGAATCGGCTACTACCCTGATGTCAAGGGCTGGCGCGCGGAGATGACTCCAGTCGACTTCGTTAGCAAGGCCATAATGCACCTTAGCAACCAGACCGAGACCGATCAGACCATGTTCCACATTGGAGACCCTGACCCAGTCGACATTAGCAAGGTCTTCGAAGATCTCAGTGCGCTAGGTTACCCGACCCAGCCGATGGAATTCGAGAAGTGGACTAGCCTCTGGGACGACAAGCGAGGTTCTGCCAAGGGTGGTGACGGTGCTTTCACCGTTGATATCCTACGAAGCGGTATGCCAAGCGTCGAGTTCCTGAGAGATGTGGTGGTGCTCGATAACGCGAAGACCAGGCCGCTGCGCCTCGCAGTGGAGCGCCCGAAGGTGGACCAAACGCTTCTTGAGACATACACACGGCATTGGTATGCACGTGGCTGGCTTCCAAAGCCGCCTGCGCACCAAGATGCTGCTGGTGGCTCTGCTAGGCTTCCACGAAGAGGTCCTCTTTTCGGCAAGGTTGCCGTAGTCATGGGCGCATCATCCGGTATTGGCGCTGCCACCGCCACGGCTCTTGCCAGGGAAGGTTGCCACGTTGCCCTCGCAGCACGCCGAATTGACGCCCTTGAAGACCTCAAGAAACGCCTCGTGATCCGCGAAGGCAAGGTCATTACGCAAAAGACCGATGTCACCGACAAGGCTCAGGTTGAGGCCCTCGTTGCCGCAGCAGAGAGCCAGCTTGGGCCCGTCGATATCTTCGTGAACGTCTCCGGAGTTATGTACTTCACCATGATGGCCAACACATACACCGACCAATGGAACCAAACCGTCGACGTCAACTGCAAAGGTCTTCTCAACGTCATTTCGTCCATCGTACCCTCGATGCTCAAGCGCGGAAAGGGCCACCTCCTTGCCATCTCCTCGGATGCTGGGCGAAAGGTCTTCCCTGGCCTCGGCGTCTACTCAGCATCAAAGTTCTTCGTTGAAGCTACACTGCAAAGCTTGAGGCTCGAGACTGCCGGAACTGGACTAAGGGTTACTGCTGTTCAGCCAGGAAATGTGGCGACGGATCTGCTGGGTATGAGCACTGACCAGGAGGCGTTGAAGAAGTTTGGAGAGCCAACTGGAGCGAAGGTTTTGGATCCAGAGAATGTTGCTGAGTGCATTGTGTATGCGCTCAAGCAGCCGGACCACGTCTCTGTGAACGAGGTGCTTATTGAGCCGAGAGATGAGCCTATCTAGACGAAACTGTGTGTAGAGAGTTCGATACAACGCCGATATGAATCATGATGGAGCCGTACAGCAATGAAACTTTGACGGACTTGTAGAGAATTATCTGTGCCCACTGCTTTCGTTTAAAGAAACGTGAGATCAACCATGTACAAGAGTATGATGAACCTCATTATCTTGTTGTCAGATTCATTCTTGAGACGCACTATCACAGCCATCTTCGTACCATCGCAAACCTCTTTAACTAAGCCGCTGGGCTAAGCACAAAAGTCACCATACTCCTCCCCGGCACCTGCGCACTAACACTACCCCCATCCGCCGCCAACGTCGCCACAAGTTCATCGCAATCATGCCCATTATCCGTGATCCACGCCTTCGCCGCCGTAGCAACAAAACCACTTACCTGGATCGTAACGGCACCCGTCACAGTCCCCCCTTGTATGACCTGCACCGCCAAACTCCCATCCACATTCCTAAACGCACTAACCCGACTTCCACTCGGCCCACCACTCGCACTCACTCTCACAGCACCCGGTCGCACATGTCTACTCCAATTCGCGAATGCCCAGAGACGTTTACTCGGTATGACTGATGTTTTGTCATCCGAGATACGGATTAGCTTGCTGTTTGTTGCGCCGCCTTGGACGCCGATCCAGTATAAATATGCCGAAGCGTTGGCGGTTGTGAGCGCAGTGTGGATTTTGTTTGCCCAGTTTAGGCCTTCGCCTGCGCCGTTGTTGCTGTAGAAAGTTGTTGTCCATGCGCCTTGAAGGTCGGCGTTTTCGGTTTGCCAGACGTGGTGGGGGGTGTTTATGGGACTGTTGGGTTGGGATGTGTAGGAACTAGATGATGGTGAGTGTGTGGTTTTGGCGTTTGGGTGGAGGACTTACTGTGCGGTGATCGTACCCAACAGGCTACTCACGCTACTTAGTGCACTCATCATACTCTGCTGACTGCTCCACCCCTCGGCGTCACAGCACGTAACCTTTACGCTCGTAAAATTCGCTTTGTCGAGTGTTGGCCGTAGGACTTTGATGAAGTCTGCGGCTTGCTGTCCGTTACTCCTCATGCTGGCATAGCTTGTCGTAAGATCTGGTTCATTCAAGAATCCCAGATGCGTGATATCGACCCCGATGTTTCTGTAGTAAGTGATGTACTGGACCAAATAGTTGGCGTACGCTTGTTTCCAATCCCCGCTCGAACAAGTGGCGCCGGAAACCCCACAAAGAGATCCCCCATTTGCATCGTTGTTGTTCGTTTTCATGTATCCTGGTGCCGACCATGCGTTTGCATATACAGTGCGTAAGCCGTACGTCTTCACTGCTTCGGTGCTAACCCAGACCTGGCTGTTGTCATTGCCGTCAAACACATATTTCGGCGTTGCGTTCGGGCCTCCGGGGTTTGTGGGTTGAATGGAGACCATGTGGTCGCTGCTGGAGTCCGGAGACGAACCGATGCCATTTCTCAAGATAGAGAAACCAGCGCCGGATGTGCGGTTGAAGAGCAGGTCAAGGGCATAGCGTTGGAGTGAGGGCGAGAGGGCATGCATCTGGTTCGCGCGTTGGAAGGTTTCCGATATGCCGAAGCCATCTATGGTCTGGTAGGTTTTGGTCAAGTCGACGGTGACAGTGGAGGACTGTCGGGATTGTAGGGATGCGTGTGTACTCGCGAAGGTCGTCAGCGCCAGGACGAGGTAGCTGGAGAGCGCCATGACTGGAGTTCGAGGTAACTTAGTCCCTTGAGATACACCTAGGGAGCTTCGCAAACGACTGACATGCCGTGAATCGCGGTAGGCGAAGCTTTTGTATAAGCATCATCTCCATTTAGCCTTATTAGTTAGCAGCCCCACAATGGGTCCAAGATCAAGCTTCCTGTTCACCCAGTATACGAAGATCATCTGTGAGCTGCTCCCCGCCATTAGGATAAGATCGAGCAGCAATGTCGCTGAGTGGTGGAATTATCCGGTGCTTACCTCCGTAAAGTACTATAAGTATCATATCTAAATCTCCGAGAAGCAGCCACGATAAATTGAGCCAGATTGTGGGTGTTATAGCCTCCATACCTAGGTAATGTCTACTCCATGCGAGTACCATATCCGATTTCCTTTGGAAGCATCTCTTCCTGAACATTACAAAGGGCATGGCTCCAGGATCAGTGGCGTCGCTGCATCTGGAATTTGCTGCGGTTAATGATCAAGATCTTCCTACTCGATACGAGATCGACATGTCGTTGCTCGTCGGTGTCTCACCGATCCTCGATGTGACTAGGAATCTAGGCGGAACGCAGGAATGCATGTTCGATCACGCCAGGAGACGACAGACAGGCCATCGAGAACGTCCATAGTTGTGTATTGATACATCTGTGGTGTTGCTGACCTTGCAGAACTGGTGCTTAGCCTTCGTGATGTTAAGGAATGATGAGGCCTCATCCAAGGTCGAGGCTGTCGCATGCAAGCCACGCTAGTGTCTTGGCAGTCGTCAATCCAACATTTCGCGGAGGAGTGACTGCCCTCACAGCAACAACAACCCACCATGGCCGACCTAGCGAAAGTAGACGAAGCAGCGCCCGCGCCCGAAGCCCCTCAAAATGTCGAAGAGGAGGTCACTACCGTATCCGTACCGCCGAAAGTCGAAAAGGCCGAAGCATCAGACACCATGAGCGCGAGTGGAGCGCCAGCGCAAGATGCGACCACAGCCCACGAAGCCGCTTCAACAGAAGATAGCTCTCTCAGTGCGACTACAAACCCTGACCCGAAAGCTGCGCTCGCTGCGCGAATGGCCCGATTTAAAGCGCTCCAAGCCGCCAAAGTAAACGGGCGTAAAGAAACAGAGCGCGAGGTTCGCGATGCCGAAGACCGCAGTTCTCGCCTCGCGCAAATCTCCAAACTCGGCGCCCTCAACGAGAAAGCCTCGTACAAACTCCTCAAATCCGAAGACCCTGATTTCGAGCGCAAGAGAAATTGGGACTACACAGTTGAAGAGAGCGAGAGCTGGGACAAGAGGCTCAAGAAGAAGTCAAAAAACCGGGAGGGAGTCGCGTTCGCAGACTACAGGAACGAGGCGAACAAGGTGTACAAGAGGCAGATTGGTCAGATGAGCAAGGTCGATCTGGAGGCGTATGCCGAGGAGAAGGCAAGGAAACTGCAGTCGCAAGTATCCTCTGGACTTCTGCAACTCGTCGAAACGGATGCTGGCGAAATCTACACCGTCGACAACCAAGGGCGCATAAACACACCAGTCGACGAAGCGTACAGCCACGATCACAGGCCTTCGAAGGAAGCCGTGGACAGGCTAGTGGAAGACTTGGAGAAGGGCGAGCGGGCCAGGTTGAAGGCCAGGGCAGCGAGGGGCATACGCGACTCCGAGGATATGGGCGATGTCACGTACATCAACCAGAAGAACAAGCAGTTCAACGACAAGCTCTCGCGCTTCTACAACAAATACACGAGCGAGATACGGGACAGCTTCGAGCGAGGAACAGCGATATAATTGGGGCAAAACAACAATATTGTACTTATACCCTGGCATTGTGCTCTCAAGGGCCGGCGTTATTTGATGCGAAAACGCATTAGGGATTTGGCGTTGTTTGCTATTACGTTGCGGCACACACTTTCATCGTACATACGGCTGAGGACATTGGTTCAAGTATGAAATATACTCGTATTCCTGGATATCATGCGCAACGCTCTACATCATACTACTCAACACCCTGTTCACATCCTGACCCGGCTCAGGCTTCTTCATCGCCTTGCTCGTAGCCGTATGCTGCGAGAACTCGAGCCTTTCCTTCCGCCTCTTTGGCTTCCCATCTACTTCCTGTACCGCTGCTGCTGCCTCAGTCGCCGCATTATCGCCATCAACATCTTCTCCTCTCTTCCGCCTAGTAGCCTCAATACCACTAGCCATCTTGCCTCTCTCCACGTTCTCCAAGAACGCCTTGTTCTCCTTCTTGCCCTGCGAAATCTCAAATCTGAGTCTGGCCGCACGCTCTGCGTTCTCATTCTGGATCTGCTCGACCAGGTTGTGCCACTTGACGCCGCTCAAGTACCGGATATTCCACACTTCGTCGTGCCACCTGCCTCTCTTCTTTCCGCCCATTGTTTGCGCATTCAGGTTCTCGGCAACGAACTTGGCGTCGCGTTTGTGTAGGAATTCGACCCAGCCGTCGAGGAAGAGCTTGCGACGCGTGCCTCCGTTGCGCAGGCGCTGGGTGCGGGAAGTGCTGTCCTCTGGGGTGAGGAATATGCGGCCTACGGCGCCGTAGGGTGTTAGGAGGGAGCGCATTACGGCTGGCTTCATAAAGGGCGGGACGCGCGAGAGGTATATGACGCCCGACTTGTCTTTCTTGAGTGATGAGGGCGGTAGAGCCTTTCCGAGTTTCGTGGTCTGTAACCTCATTTCCGAGGGGAGGGATGCAGCAAGTTTCTCGAGATGTGCTAGTTCGGCGCTCTTGGAGGCAAAGCGCTTCGGTGCGTGTTGCTCATCATCGTCTTCTCCATCTTCGGCATCGTCTTCGTTGAAGTCTTGTTCTTCACCATCTTCCAGTTCCTCCGCATCGCCCTCGGAGTCGGAGACGTGATCTATTTTTTGCCGCTTTGACGTAGGTAGCATGCGCGCTCTGCTCTCCTCCCCAGAATCATAGCCCCTCTCCTCGTCTTCGCTTTCCTCAACGTCGAGGTATTCGTTTCGTTTGCGCGTCGCCATTGTTGCGCGGGAAGTAATTCTTTCGCTGGTAGCAGTATGATGAACTCTTCTCGGAGTACGTAACAGTCTTTCGACCGGGAGAGGCCTGTCGTGACGTGGATATTCGGGCGGTATACGGGCGCGTTCGTTCGCTCGAAACTTTTGCGGAGAAGTCGCGGAGGTCAACTTTTGGGTGGGGCCTGACCTAGCGCCTTGGCAATTTGTCGCGCAACTCATCTGCCAGCCTCCATCACCTTTTCACATCCACACCCACCACACCCACCAACGAACTCACCTACCCGCGCATCACACCTTGTTCGCAATCCCATCAACGAAAAAACCTACTCGCGCGTCACAACTTTCTCGCAAACCCACCAACAAACTTCACCTACCCGCACACACACCACACCTCTCGCAGCCATGGGAGGAGATCTCAATTTGAAGAAGTCGTGGCATCCCCACCTGCGCAAGAACCAGGAGAGAGTGTGGAAGGAGGAGAAGTCTGCGCTCGAGGAGCGCAAACTGATCGAGAAGTTGCGCAAGGAACGTGAAGAAGAAGCTGCAATCGAGCAGCTGCAGAGACTGCAAGCAGAGAATGGCGGCAAGGTCGTACAGCGAAGGGTTGACTGGATGTATTCAGGCCCGAGTGGCGATGCCGGCGTCACAGAGGAGCGCGAGGGCTACCTTTTGGGCAAACGCAGGATCGACAACCTGCTGAAGTCGAACGATACACAAAGCCTTCAGAAGGGTGCTGCAGTCGGCATCGACGCCGCCACGGCTGACACGAACGCGAACACCGCTCGCGACACACAGAAGAAAGTCCTCCAGGACCCGCTCCTCATGATTCAGAAACAGAAAATGGAGATGCAGCTGAAGGCTATGAAGGACGCGCAGAAAGAAGCTAAATACGCCGAAAAGCGCGAGAAAGAGAAGGAGCGAGAGAAGAAACACAAAAACAGGGACAGGGAGCGGAGCCGGGATCGCGAACACAAGCACAGCAGCCGACGCCATCGGTCACGTTCGCCACGCAGGAGGGAAGACCGCGAAGATCGTCGCGATCGCGACAGCCACCGTGACAGCCACCGTAGACGGTCGAGATCTCGCTCGCGATCACCATACCGCAAACACAGCAGCCGACGAGACCGCACTCGTTCACCACGCAGGAGGGAGGATCGTGGCGATCTTCGCGACCGCGACACATACCGACGACGGGACCGTACACCACCGAGAAGACAAGTCGAGAAACAAGTCGATGATACGGAAGCCCGTCAGAGCGCAGCCGATCGTCTTGCTGCCATGCAAGCAGAGGCGACTTCACTAGAGGAGCAGCGTGCAGAGCGTGTTCGGCAACAGGAGATCAAGGACGCAGAGGAAGAAGAGAAGCACAAGAAGAACATGGATGGTGGGCGCCGGTTCATTTCGAGTGTGCGTGGGCAAGCCTCCAACATGGATCTGGGCGATGCGATCGCTCGTGGACGGGGTAACCTCAGGGCAGAGATTGATACTTAAGTTTTTTCTGAGAGCTTGGAGAAATGTGCTTATGATGAATAGATAGTAAATTGATACCCTGGTCTTTTCTCGCGCTAGAAATGATTCCACTCTCACTACCTGAGTTCAGGAGACTTCTTTCACCCCCACTGCTGAATAATTACTTGATTTGGTATTTCTGCGACCTGTTCAACAAAAAAGAGTTCTAGTATTTTGCTATAGCGACAGTATATCTCTCGCGAACCATAGGGCCAATTGTTGCCTACAAAGGGGAACTAAGGAACCAAGGCACGGAATCGTGAACCTCCCAAGTAGCTCTTCGCCTGTTGAAATCTCCCCAGCCCTGGAGTGAAACGATACAACCCGCAAAAACCTTACGCCCACTTCGCAGGCTTCCCTTTACTATCCGGTCCGAAGCCCTAGCTGACTGTTCACAAGCCGCTGTAAATGATGGCAACGGCAACGGCCGTCACCAGAGCAGCCAGACTTGGTGAACTGATTGGTGCTGCAGACTTGGCGTCCAGTCGCTCAAGGCAGTAAGTGACACTGTAGCTCGAGTTTTGACCGGTAGGTGCACAAGCGAACGGTGTATCGTATCCGTACTCCTTGGTCTCACATGAGGGCTTGTTCTGCTCGAGCTCGTCCATCTGGTCTTTGGTATACAGGGCATTACCAACGATGACGGGACCGGTGCAGTTTAAGGGGTTTCCGATGGCGCCGAGCACGATGCTGAGGAGTCTAGCCGGGAGGGCTTGCGGACCTGGGATTGCGGCAGCGACGGCGGCTATGCCCTCCACGAAATCTAGTTGTGATGTTAGCAGTGATGGGACATGTGTCGATGAACTGCTTACTGAAAGCCAACTCCTCGTCTTCATCATCCGTGTTCAAGCCACCAATGGCTACAGACAGGTTCGAAGCAGCATCGAGAACATCGATTTCCTGCGTGTACTTGACGGTATCGTTTGCCGCAACGATAGCATCGGCTTCGACCTCGCCCACAAGCCAGGAGTTTTTGATGGTGTTGCTGCCTGCTGTTGAGGCGATGGCGAGAAGCAGGTCGTCTTCTTGCAAGTCACGGGTGACCCCGACGTGTACTTCCTGGATGGTGAAACTGAAACGGACGGCGATGGCGACGTTTGCTAGGAGCAGGAGGGATAGCAGGACTTTCTGTAGGGTGAAGGAAGACATAGTAAAGAAGGCAGGAGGGTATCAATCCTAAGAGAAATGAAGCGTAGGCTTTGGGGCGAACTTGACTGGGAAACTCTAGCTGATGTCGATAAATTTCAGGAAGCGAGGATAGTCTCAGGCTGGATTCCGCTCCATCATTGCGAGCACCATGCTCTACTTATGTTCGTTTGTTCAGCCTGACCTGAAGGGTGAGAAGGTCAAGGCAGTCCCATGGTGGTCGGATTTGCCGACCGGATATCCGTGACAGAGCAAGGGAAAGCGAATGTGAGCTTTACTCGAGCCTCTTGCGGCTATCAAGAGGCACTGTGCATGCATTTTTGCCAATCAACGACGCTGGCCCCCAATATCACACAGCATAGCGTTCTGATGGTGTGATGGAGAGACATCGCCGGAATTGTAGAGATGATCAAAGCTCATGTTGACTCCGACGCCGTGGCTTTGGGGCCGAGTCATTATGCACAGGCGCCAAGTGCGTGTTCTCGCCTGATGTTGTGTGCCATGAGCATCTGGAGTCCATTTGAAGTCGGTCCTTCTAGAGTACTTCAAGTGACTGACGTGATCTGGCCGACAGCTTGTATAGTCCGAGAAGCTTCCTCAACAGGAATTCTGTCCATCTTTGATGAGTCTGAAGCCATTGGCGTTGGATGCTGCGGCGGGTCGGAATACCTCGATTTTCAGCCTTGCTGTGCGGTGCTTTTTGCGCCAAGGAAGAATTGCTGACACCGCCCCCATTCAGTTCAGGAAGTAGAACTGAATAGAGCAAAGTGCTTCGTATATATGCTACACCCAGCATTTAGCCTGACAGGGTACTCTAGCGTTTAGCATCGTTCGCGGCAGACTAGCTTAGGCGGAGTAGGATTGCAAGCGATTGCGGCCTCAGCCTTGTGAGCCGCAACATGAACTCAGACCGATGTACCGGGAATAGCTGACTAGTCAGATTATCTTCTTGATGTCCCACAGTCAGCCCTAGCCCATCTATGGAAGGTACCGGGCTGAGGGAGCGACTGTCCTTAGGTAGCATGGACGCATCCGGCGATACTGAGAAGGTATACCATGACGCCACACGCAGTGAGCCGAATTTCCAAGCCGTTTTGATGAATAACCGCTGTTAGACACTTGTTCGGCATATGCAAGACCGGGCACTAGAAGTACAGCGACAAATCTGGTGGACTTCTGCTCCTCAAAATAACTTGGTACAGGCGGCCTGTGCTTTGTTACCACAAGAGAAACAAGCATAACTAACTTCGTCCTTGTCAAGCGATCAACGCCAGATTGACTTCAGTGCATCTGATCGGCATAGCTGGCATTTTGAAAGCGGGTCTTCCACCGACCGTGTGGCTCGTGGCTGCAGCGCCTTGAGCTACCAAGAATTATAAATATGTTTTCGTGATGAGAGGGGCAATAAGGCGCCATGCCCGGTGCCGAAGCTTTTAGCATAATGAATGCGATGTCAAGTAGCGTATCACACGCAGTTGACGCTGATGCTTCTGCCAATAGCCAGGATGAGGCTTCGGTGGCCCAGTCTCTCGATTCCGTATTGTTGATGAGAGGAAGGTTATGCAAGGATGGCGCGAAGTGGCTATAAGAAGCGCTGGAAGCTTCATATCCGCACATCTCCGCAGACTCAAAATCGCTGAAGAGGCTGTCTTGATGTCGCATAGTCATTAAGAAGCTGAGGATAGGGCCAAGGTGTATTGACAGATATGGACGATGGCGACATTTGCGCAATCGACGTCTATACGCGCGACACTGGACCTCGACTCCAGGAAACCAACGGATTGAAAATATCGTGATCGTGAGCCGGTTCACGTCGGGCCAGGTAGGTATGTTCCAGGACCGGGAAACGAAGCTGACAAGAGTGTTAAGTATACCTCGGGGCCCCTGGTATACAAATCGCGGGCTCACCAGAAAGACCAATGGTCGCGATCATCCTGTAGTTCCTGCACCGTGTAGCGAGCAGGAGAGGTCGTAAAATCGACAAAAACACTTTTCTGGTCAGGTTCATCGTAGGGATCAGTGCTCAGGTACGTCCCATTCATGACCAGTCCTAGATTGGCCAGCTTAGGCCAATTGCGTCTGATCCCTAGTAGACATTAGCACTGCTTGAAGATCCCCTAAGCAACGGCCACTTACCTTTGTCGTCTCTGATTGTCAGCATAATGTCAAACGTGATCGATGACGTCTCGTATTGCTCTTTGATCTGTACCAGCGATTGAAGTCGTTCTAGCAGATCGTATTCTTCCCATTCGCGTTGATAGTATACCCATGTGATGTATACATCTTTCAGCGACGGTAAGATACCATCCTTGTGCGCGGTGAGAACATCGAGAAGTTGTTGATCGGCTTCGTCGTTTGGCTCACGGGGATAGTGGATGTGCACTGATGTGATACTTGGCGGTAAAAAAGCAGGCAGACTTCGAACACTCAGAGTTTCCCCGGGATCAGACACCATATACAAAGAGACCCTGACCGAGTTCAAGTTGGTGAACTCATGAAGAGAATCGAGCTGAGCCATCCCAATGTACTCTAATGAGGGCCCATGTTGCCTACACAATAACGATAAGTTTTGAAGACTCTCGATGTGGTTGTTCAGCGCAGGAATGAGACCCCCAAACCACCGATCGTCCCCGCTGGAAGGTGCTGGGTGAAAGCATTCGAATCGCTCCAGAGCTTTACACGACGTTATCATGCGATTGACTATTTCCTCGGACACAAATGGTTTGAACAGCGAGAGCTTGGTGATGGGCAACGAGAGGTACGGCCACGACCACTCACCGTCGAAAATCGTCGTCTCGCCGTCAATGTCGTCGTAGTCAAAACCGACTCCATCTTCGTTCGCTCGAATGATGTAATTACCACCCCATGCGACAAGAGTAAGCTCGTCCAAGTTGGGAAGAAGTAACAAAGGTAGAGCATACTGTACGTGCGTTTCCGGCGTTGAAGTGAAATCGATGTATAGGGTCTTGAGATTGTCAAAATGGTGAGTGTCGAGCCATCGTCCACCCATAGTCATGCGACCTATGCCCTCAACAAGTGTACAATGACAGTCGCCAGAGAACCCTTGGTCAAGACAACGCGGCCGCATCCATAAACGTTCCAAGTTCGGTGTCCGAAAGGCCACTAGAGCGAAGTATAAGTCCTCGAAACTAAGCCAGCGGCCTACGAGTCTTGAGGCGTCTTCGGTGCCTAGTCCAACGGCTTTCAAGTCTCGCAAGATGTCCTTAATGTACTCATCGCGAACACGTATACGGTCCTGGCCGTCCTGTATCGGCCTAGGGCGCGTTCTCTGTCGAAGGGCTTTGACCTTGAAGCGGAGACTTGGCTGTTCTTGCAGATGGCGCCAGAGCCTTTGAGACTGTGAGTGAATGACTTCATTCGAAGGTAGATCTATCGATTCGTAAAGCAAGGGCTGGGCAATGTGGTAGAGCTTCTTTGAGACGCAGCAAAGAGCCGCAAGGGCGTGCATTCGGCTGTAGTCTGCTGGTTCTGACCAGGTCATGGGGCCTCGGAGTTGGTCGACAATGTGGAAGAGCAATTCGTTAGGAAGGTCGTCCATGGTAAAGATGATGTTCCGCTGGATGAATAGTGTTGGCGGATTCGTCGACGACGGGAGTGTTGGTGGGATGCAAGGTGATGTTGACCGGTAGTGAAGAAGGCACGACCGTGACGCGTCGCGAAGGGAACACCTCGGCGGAACTTCGCGCCACCTAAGCGAGCGAAAAGAGGAATCTTTACTCTACTACGATCGTAGAGCAAGCATATTTAACAGCGATGCTTTCTAAGCCGCGTTTGTTGCAGCCTCTTGGAGGGAGGCTCACGCATGGGCGAATCGGCTCGTGGCGCGCGGCAGGAAGGCGCGAACCTGCCACGACCTCAGGTGAGACACGTGCAGCGGCTACCCCACGCCCACGCTACTGGGCCCGCATCAGCTCCCCGCCGCTGCCCTTGGAGCTCACCAGACGCCTCTCGAGCTCAACTACCACCAACAAAATGACCGCCACTATAGACTCCGAGACCCTCAAGCAGTACTTGGCCGACAGCCCGCCCACTGTCGTGCCTCTGACCATCAAGCCCCACTTTGATGCGCTGAGCGACAAAGAGAAGCTCTACGCTCACCATCTCTCAGTGTAGGACATTCATATGCCTCAGCAGTAAATGGCATAGTCATTGACACACACTACAGAGCCTGCTTCGCCGGAACACGCGTCGTCCTCCGCCAAGTCTCCCCCGAATCCGAGCACATCTATGACTTCATCGTCGCCCTCCACAAGCACGCCAAGGGCGACTATGCTTCCCTCGCCAAAGACACAGGTCTCTCACAAGAAGAGATTGACGCATACCTCGATTACTCAGCGCAGTTTCTAGGCAACCTAGGCAACTTCAAGTCGTTCGGAGACAGCAAGTTCGTACCCCGCCTCGATCCGCGCCAGCTGAAGGCACTCGCGACCGCCTCCAAAGACACATTGGCCATATACGAAAAGTTCAAGGACGCCATATATGCTGGCGACGATGTGGGAAAGCTGCATCTGGGCTACCCCGGTGCGGGACACATCTCAACCTATTACCCCGACAGCCCCGACATCACCAGCGAACAGATCTCCAGCGTGAGCGATTTCCTCGAAGGCAAGGGACTGCTTCCGGAGAACACAAGGATCAAGAAGGCTAAGGATGGATATGAGGTTCTTATTGCTTCAGCCTCGGATAACCCATCGGCAGAACAACGCGATCTGAAAGAAAGCGAGTGGACAATGGACGATGGCAGCAAGGTGAAGCTGGTCTTTGGTGACTACTCTAAGGAGATGGACACCATCGCGCACCACATTGAGCAGGCGAAGAAATACGCAGCCAATGACCACGAGATCAAGATGATGGAGGAATACTCCAAGAGCTTCAGGACAGGGTCACTCCAGGCCTTCAAGGAAAGCCAAAAGGCATGGGTACAAGACAAGGGACCTCAGGTGGAATCGGACATCGGATTCATCGAGACATACCGCGACCCGCACGGCATCCGTGGCGAGTGGGAAGGCTTCGTTGCCATGGTCAACAAGGAACGGACGCGAGCCTTTGGCAAGTTGGTCGAGACCGCGCCACAGTACATCCCTCTGCTACCGTGGGACAAGTCGTTCGAAAAGGACAAGTTCCTTAGCCCTGACTTCACCTCGCTCGAGGTGCTGACGTTTGCGGGCAGTGGGTAAGTCAAGAAAACTTTCAACGTTGTTCTGTGACCTCATCTAACATCAACAGCATCCCTGCCGGAATCAACATCCCCAACTATGATGACATTCGGCAGAACTTCGGCTTCAAGAACGTATCGCTTGGCAACATCCTCTCTGCAAAAGCACCAAACGAGGCTGTTCCTTTCATAAAAGACAAAGACCTGGCCACGTACCAAAAGTACCGAGACCCTGCGTTTGAGGTCCAGGTCGGCCTCCACGAGCTGCTAGGCCACGGTTGTGGTAAGCTTCTCCAGGAGACGGAGCCCGGCGTCTTCAACTTCGACAAAGAGAACCCTCCAATCTCACCACTAAGCGGCCAGCCAATAAAGTCTTGGTACAAGCCAGGTCAGACTTGGGGATCAACGTTCGGCACAATCGCTGCTTCCTATGAAGAGTGCCGTGCCGAGTGCGTCGCCATGGCGCTCTCTTGCGAATTCCCCATCTTGCAACTGTTCGGTTTCGGTGACGGCAAGGCCAACATGAACAGTGAAGCCGGCGACGTTCTCTTCACAGCCTACCTTCAGATGGCCCGCGCTGGTATCGCGGCCCTAGAGTTCTGGGATCCCAAGAGCAGGAAGTGGGGTCAAGCCCACATGCAAGCTCGCTTCTCCATCTTGCGCACATTCCTCAATGCCGGTGTCGAGTTCTGCCAGCTGGAATGGGAAAAGGACGATCTCTCCGACCTGACCATTCGCCTCGAGCGTGATCGCATCCTGGATCTAGGTCGCCCTGCCGTGAATGACTACCTCCAGAAGCTGCACATCTACAAGGCCACTGCAGACTACGCAGCTGGTAAGAGGATGTACGACGAGATCACCACTGTTGAACCCTTCTACGAGAACATGGTCAGGCCGGCCGTTCTTAAGAAGAAGACACCCAGGAAGGTATTCGTCCAGGCAAACACTGTCGAGAAGGACGGCAAGATCGACTTGGTTGAGTACGACGCGACCAATAAGGGCATGATCCAGAGCTGTGCGGACAGAGAATACGTATGAGCATGGACGAACTTGATGCAAAAGAGCGGAGTATGGGTGGTTATGACTATATGCAATACAAGCCATTACGATGTTATGATAAATCAGACGCACGAAGAGTCGCAGTCGTTCACTGTCACGATTACTCAACACGTCGTCCGAACACTCGGTAGCCATGTGGAAGTGGGTTACGGACATTTAAATCCACCTCGTAGTCTCCATCCATCGCGTCCTGTCATCTAAAAGTCCGACGAGCTACGCGCGTGAATATTCTTCCGACACTCGACAGGTGCGGATACCAGCTTCCGTGCATAATAGTCGCAAAGCAAGCGTATACGCCTGATATTGCTGCTCCCGGGGCAACCTTGGATCATTCGCAGCATCACGTTTTCAAAGACGGTGTTTCTGTTCCGTGAATCAACATGCATAGATCGTTATGGCTAGAATACTGGCAACTCAAACACCGACATGTCTATGACCGGGCAAAACATTGCCGAGATGTGCTTGGTGTGCTTGTAGCGCCGGCATATGCTACGCTAGCGCAGGTCTACCAAAGTGCGGAGAGACGAAACGTGCTAGCCCAGGGTCTGCCATCCGCCCTACCCGTTCCGAAGAGAACGCCGAGGTCTGCATTATTCTTCCACCGCTCAAGCGCTATTTCTATATGAAGCCAGATCAACTGACCAGCGATTAGCTCGGCGCGGACCGTGAAGAGATAAACAACTAGGATGCGATCTAACAGCAGTGTGGTGTAGTCATTCGGACCGATGTGGAATACACGTTCATCGACTACACGTGCGAACACCTGGGTAGACACCGTCAACACCTAAGTCGCGCGATTAGGAACGTCCGGTACCAATGGTCCCACACCTATTTCCAAGAGCAGGATCCATTAGGGCTCGAGCGCGACAGCCGAAATGATGCAACTTCCAGAAGCAGGGCAAACATGTTCACGGTCCCTGGCACAACGATAGCAGACCGGCAACAGCACCTGAAGAGAACGAGATTGCAGGGATCTGGATAGCTGTCAAACTACTCACAGTCCCTGTGGCGTTCTCGACTGCGCGCCGCTGTCATTTGTAGCGTGCGTTAGCGCCATGAGCTGGTGCTTTACCATGCCCCTATCATCACCAAGCGCTGGCCCTTCCGCCCTGCTAATGGAGGAAATCAACACTAAGGCGCAGAAACTACTCTCCTCAACATCAGAGGTATCTCGATGCCGGCATGGTTGCCGAGTATCCTTCCAGAGGGGTACCCTTCTAGCTAGCATGGCAATTGCTTTTAAAGAGCAGTTGTGCCACCGGTAAAGGACTATCTGGAGTATCAAGCCATTCTTTCTACTTATTAAGCCTTGGTCTTGCTTCAGGAAAGCATTATTCATTCATTCGTCTTTCACTATGAAGCTTTCTATTCTTGCGCTCGCAAGCGCGTACACAGCCAGCGCCGCCGTTCTTGGAGAGAGGCAATCATACGGAGTCAAGGGCACTCCTGAAGGCTTCGGAAGGGGTACTACGGGAGGTGGCAACGCAGCCTGTGTTGTACCTTCCTCGGTAGCCCAGCTGAAGACCTGGCTCAGCGACAGCACTGCCCGCTGTATCGTACTCGACCGAGAGTTCAACTTCAAGGGTACTGAAGGAACCACAACAGCCACCGGCTGCCGTCCCGCATCCAACAAATGCCCTGGCAACGGAGGTCAAGACGCCATCAACTCTGCCAACTGGTGTGACAACGGAAACGCTGGAGCAGGCGCCACGTCTGTCCAGGTCAAATACGACAATGCTGGTGTGACTGCCATCAACATGGGCTCCAACAAGTCCCTCATCGGTGTTGGCAACAAGGGTGTCATCCGTGGCAAAGGTCTCCGCATCGCCAACGGAGCACAGAACATCATCATCCAAAACATCCACATCACCGAGCTCAACCCACAGTACATCTGGGGTGGCGACGCCATCACCCTCGACAAGTCCGACCTAGTCTGGATCGGTACGTCCACTCCCTCCCGTCATAACCCCTCCCATATCTAACAACCCCTGCAGACCACGTCAAAATCTCCCTCATCGGCCGCCAAATGTTCGTAGCCGGCTACGGCGCCTCCGGCCGCGTAACAATCAGCAACTCGGAATTCGACGGCAGTACCTCCTGGTCCGCCTCCTGCGACGGCCGCCACTACTGGACTATCCTCCTCCTCGGCGGCAGCGATCTCATCACCATGAAGGGCAACTACATCCACCACACCTCTGGCCGCAGCCCCAAGGTCGGTGGACAGGGAAACACGCTGCTCCATGCGGTGAACAATTACTTCTACAGCAACACGGGTCATGCTTTTGATATTGAGGCTGGTGGTATGGTTGTTGCCGAGGGCAATG